CTTTACCGTTTATGTTCTACATATGTTTATAAATATGCCTGGCAGACATCTTCTAATGTGAGCCAGAGAGTCTGACTGCTTGTCATTTTTGTATACCACGTTCCGGGAATACATAAGCATGGTGCTGGTACAAGAAGATTTAGACCGTATTGCATTGTTCTGTGCCTGTGTCAGACATATCTTGTAATTATGAAAGATGCCTTGGCTCACTCTCCATCATCACATCAAACAAAATACATCCCAGTGGGAAACATGCCCAAAACAAATGTAATTAGACTTAACTAATTACTTCAAAACCTTGTTATTTGTTAAACTGTACAGTATGTTTGTGATCAAGCAAGGTTGACTGTGCGCTTTGGATGCTGCATATAGACTATCCTGACTGGAATAATCTGCCCATAATTCACTAAATGAAACAGCATGAAATACAACACCAAGCTAGCTTAATAAAAATAAGAGAACCATTTACATAGGCTAATGCCGTCGACGGTAATTAGGACATTAGCTCACATTTACATAATCAGTGCTTACCATTTTTCATAGGTTAATTAGACATTATGTAAATGATGCAATGATTGTGCTGTGTTCTATCTGCTGCTAAAAATTGGGGGAACATTACATCTTGTCTCCTGGGGGGTTGAGCTTTTAATATGAAAATCCGTTTTGAAGTACTTAATGCCTTTGTTGTTCACATATGCATAAAATACCCAGCTGATGTTTTAACATTCAGTGTTTAAGAATCTCTAAATGTAATATAGCCATGTATGTAATAAAACACATGTTGACTACTTACAAGACACATTGTTGGAAACACCAAGAGAGAAGTTAAATGAGAAAAGCATAGTATATTTCTATAATTGTCTTACCACCAGCAGATACAAGCAGTGTCTCTACTGGATTATGAGCATTTTATATTTAGGATATTGTTTTATCTCCCTAAAGTATTTTTGAATAATACATTATGCTAGTCTTCCCTGCATTAGAGGTATCTTGTTACGGCCTATAAAACTGTATTAAAGTAGAATTAAAGTCTTTTTTTTTTTTACATATATCCACTGCTGGCAAGCAGTAGATATATGCAAAAACATTTTAAAAAATAAAAAAGTTACAAAAGAGGTAAATACTTACCTCTGTTACCTCTTGCTCCTGTCTGCAGCATCCAGCATCCCCGAGCAGTAGTGCAGGAAGGTCAGGGCAGGCGCATGCACAGTGGAGATCATCGGCGGGGAGAAAAGGAGAGACTCAATAGAAGTCAATGCACGCAGCCATGAGACTCAGTGGGACACAGCAGTCAACGCTGGATCAGAGACCAGCACCAGCAACAGGGGCGGAACTACTGGTGGTGCAGCCGGTGAGGCCGCCCCGGGGCCCAAGACGGTTGAGGGGCCCACTGAGGTCCGGTCCCCAACTTCTTCCACTCTGTAGGGAGGAACACTAGAAGGGGGACTGAGTGGGTGCCCATTGAAACCGGCCACCGCATCGGCGATCACTCTTCCCAGCGCTCTCCTCTCATTGACAGGAGAGGGCTGAGAAGAGTGATTGTCACTCTGTTCACTGAAGCCGGCACACAGTAGTGACAGCTGTACAGATTATTTTCCTCCTCAGCCACTGCAGCCACAGAGAAGCCGAGGGGAGAAGAATCTGTTCAGCTGTCACTACTATGTGCCGGCTTCAATGATTGTTCTGTCGGCGGCCACCTGCAGCTTCCTTCTCCCACTTCAGCTGCTATAGGAGGAGGACTGTAGGATCACCATGGCTGGAGACTTCAGGAGAGGGTCCTAGGGAGAAGGCTGGAGGCTTCATCATAGGAGATGCAAGAAATATGGCTGTACCCGCCCCCC